CCCCGTAATACGTATTTTGAACAGCTCCAAGTGTAACATCGCACACTTCACACACTTGGGCACCATTTCTGCACTCGCTCCCCACGGAATCCAGTAGCTTGTACACCGATGTCCCTTACTAATGGCAGCTAAGTCTTCTGGGCTTGCCTCAAGCGATCTCATCAGTGTAGCCTGACTTAAGTTTTATTTCTCCTTCCTATATTACTCTGTAGTTTTGTGCTAATATACAGGCATTATTCAGAAGTGAAGAATGCCATCTTTTGGGATGTGGCACCATGCAGATATTATGTAAACCGATGTTTTGGAGGAACGTATAGTCTCCATCCTGAGGGTATAAAAATCCGTGAGCAGGTGGCTGCATCTCGTCAATTTTTATACCCTGAAAATGGAGAAACGTCAGTTTACACAATATCTACACTGTGCCACATGCCAGAAGACTGCATTTTTCATAGACACCGCCATGAAAACCTCCAATCTTACATTATTCAGAAATCTTTAAGCTTTGTCTTCGTGCAGACAGACATCAAATTATGCATACATACAAGCAACTCATGAGGCCTTGTAAGTTTGCTGTGATAGTTACATGTATATATGAGGGAGAGCTAGTGAGTGTATGTGAACCTTCACAGCACTTGTATGTCATCCTGCATATTCCTTCCATTACACAAACTTGTTGTAGTGTCAGAGCTGCTTAGACCAGAGGGAGGTGAATGCATGCATGTTGCTGTGCATATATATATATATGAATGAATGAGGAAGTTTTGCGACCAGTTTTTATTTCTTCTCAAACAAGGAATACAGATTAGGAATTTTTAGGTTCTCGAAGTGGTGAATATTAATGTGTGAACATCGATGTTCTGACATGTGTAATCTGGTAGATCTGAAGAAGTTGAGCATGTTCTCCTGATAATTGCTTCCAGTCTACCAGATTGCACTGCATCACATCCATGCCGCTGACAGTAATCTGAAGGCTGTATAAAGCTGTCATTAGCTATTGTATTTCGGTGCAAAGCATATGGCAGCTGTTTGTTGAAAGTAATAATTTGTTTGCAGAGTTGTAATGGCCCTATTCTAGGTAGTTCCCCAGCATTTTCCAAAATTACCCTGCTCTCTCCCCACTAACTCGCTGCGTGTTTGTTTGGTCCGCAGACTGAAGTGAGCTGAGTGTCGCCACACTACCCCCTCTGTACCGACCAGACATCACCACAGCATGGATTCCATGGACAAGCCTCTGCCCAATGATGATCCCACTGTCACCCTTACCATTAGGCTTATCATGCAAGGCAAGGTATGTACAGAACACACGTCCTGGACCACTGAACCTCATCCGCTTACACAGGAGCTCAGTGTAACCAGCTGTAACTATCCAGGAAGTTTTTAAGACTAGTTTCAGAATGTACTTCGTGTATAAAGTGCAACATAATTCTTTGTAAACTGACCCGTCATATTTCATCTTGATACTGGAGTTAGATGTTCTCCATGTTACCAACTGAAATAAGATGGATGTTGTGGTTTTAGATGTAATTATGCAGTACTCTTTGCATTCATTACATTTTGAGTGGTAGGCTTTGAAACTGACAGAGACCGGAGCAGTGCATGTATTATATTTCCTCTTAACAGTGCATGGGTTTAAATCATGGTCTGTTGCAGATTTTAGCAGCTGCTGAATTGAATTTATGTGTAATGATTACATTGGCAGTGCCATACACATTGAGATTATTTATCAGCTCTTATGATGCATGGCCTTTCTGCTGGGCATGGTCACTGCATGGGTTGTTGCTGTCTCCCCTACATGTTCAGCTGCAGCATTAACATCATAAGATGAAGTTTACAGGGCAGTTTCAATATGTGTTATGCACACTTCCTAGGGCTGGAAAACACACAGTGACATCGGTCATATGACGTCCGTACGGTTCATGTCGCATCAAGTAGTAAAAATATAAAGTGTAGTTTTAGCTTTCATACGTGACGTGTGACATCTACCATACTACAGTTGGAGAGCAAAGAAATGTATTTGGTCGCTCTAGTGTGAAAAGGAGGTTGTACAGCAAAAGAATCATACGACATTTTTCCATACAACCGATGTCGCTGTGTGTGTTCCAGCCCTTAGAATTAATTGTGCCTGCACACAACAGACGGCTAGTAATACTCATCTTACCATCATGCCAAACATCGGTTTTAATGTCATGCAGTGGAACTTCGGATATAAGATACAGATCTTCTGCACTCCAGTGTCATCTTGATGGTTTCATGTGTCCAGTTAAGTAAAATCACTTGAAATCACGCTTTCCATCATTTCCTGATTAAGATACCAATTATGGAAATTATTAAATCGTGTGACTGCAAGAAAATGTGCTCAAGGCCGTGCCATAGATCAAGCGGTTAGTCACTTGCTTCCCACCGCGGCAGCCTGGATTCAAACCCAGGTCTGGTCAAGTGGGATTTGTGGTAGACAAAGTGGTGCTGGGGTGGGTTTTCTCAGAGTACTTCTGTACCCTGCCAATCTTCATTCCACCAATTTCTCATCATCACCACCACCCTGGTCAGATACAATAGGCCAGTCAGTGGTTGCTGTGCTGAGTGGACCCAGTTGGACTCCACCCCCCACTTTTTTTTCCCCCTTGGCACTACAGCTCCAGTGGGCCTAGGCCTACCTCCATGAACTTCTCCGTTCACCCACCCCCCACTATGCGAATTAAAAATGTGTTCAGCTCTCATTTTGAAAGGTGATAGATTTGATAATTGTTGTTGTCTACAGAAGTTCTTTTGTGTTTGACACAGTTAAGTTTACAGTCGAGCACTGAGGGTTACAAATATGGTGTTGCATGTAAGTCTGTTAGGAAGTGTCAGAAAGTTCAGAAGAATGTTTGCCGAAGACCGAGTCCATCACAGAAATGTTATTCAGGATATCTTGTCAGTAAAGTAAGAAGAGATGGCATGCATTTTCAGGAAACAGAACATCGGTGTCAAGTATTATTAATGCTGTCACCTCGTGGAACAGTCATGGTGCACAGTACCCGAGTAATCAAAGAAAATAGCATTATTTTTCAACTGTTCATTTGGCATGTTTTTTTTTTTTGGTGGGGGCTCACTAAGGAGTGATTTTTATCCTGATAGAGCCTGCTTAGTTTTCATATACCCATGATTTGCCACCACTTATGTCTTTTAAGAAGCTGTTCGGAGTTGCTTCCCATTCAAGCGAGTCAGAAGCCACAGTCAGTCAGTTTTATTTCTGTTGTGTCAAAAGTAATTTAACAATCATCTGAGGTAGGTCTCATTTCCAAATATTTGATTAAATTGCCTAATAAAAGCCATGAGAAATTTTTGTCTCATCAGTCCCTTCATGAATAATCAGTGAGTAATAATAGTATGTCACATCTGCTGCTGTTTGCACTTGGTAAGTGTGGTGTCATTTCACATTAAATTGTGCCATTGACAAGCTACTAACTTTTTTTCTGTTGGTTGAAGGACATTGGTACTCACGTTACCTTTGATGGAACAACAGGCACTTAGATTGGTTCACTGTTGCACTTTCAAATGCTGTTTGCTTCAGTTGTTAAGTATTGATTGCAGTGATATTTTCTTGGCAAATGTTTTTACGCTTGCAGTTTCTCTACACCCATTCAATCTCGAATGGGCATGTTACCAAGAGCAGCCCAAATTTTGAACACTGATGGAATTCTGGGATGGGATGTGTATTTTGGTAGATTGTAACATTTTGCCATGAGAACTGCGTCTTGAACAGCTAGATTTGAAATGCATCTGTTTGTTTTCCTGTAATGAATGAGATGTATTTTTGAGTTACGTTACAAGACTATACATGAAATATCACTTGGTCACACACACGGTCTCAGGTATGATAGATAAGGGAATATGCATTGTGACCAATTCACCTGCATTTCAATTGCATGATTCCCGTCTCATGTGGATTTGCCTTTTTCTTGACACCATTGCAACTTCAACATTGTAAGGTTTCATGGTTGCTGTAAGGTTTCACTAAGCTTGTTAAAGAAGCTGTTACATGGATTTGTGCAGACATGTTACTTACCATCATCTAAACATTAATTACAAAGGTATATAATGAATATTTTGGAGGAATTGCAAAAATTGGTAGATAATTAAATGTTTACCTTAATGGTGGTATTTGAAGAAAGTGGAGCAGCAGGAGAGAGAACATGACAGAAAAGAAAGTTAAGTAATGAGGAGTTTTGCGATTTTTATTGCTGACTTAATGTCATTAGTGTGATTGCATCAAGGAGGAGGAAATGGACAGTCCATGTACATGGGAATAACCGCATACAGCATTTTTCATATTCTAAAATGAATATAAGAAGAAAATGCTGCAAAGACATGAAAGTATTGATTGACCTGGCTCTGGATAATGCAGTGACATACTTCTATGAGCAACGTATTGAACCTTTTGACTTTCTGGAGGCAGGGAATTCATTCCCAAGTTTAATTCTTTGATATCAGCTTACAGAACAGTTCCACATATCACTAGGATGGACAGAGGGACTGCCTTATGGAACTACTCTATCTTCTCATTTCATATGTAATTTCATATTTTCCTTGTAAATGGGACACTTCAGTTTTTGGTTTTGAATTCAAGAACCATTGGAGTTCTATGAATTCTGCTAATTGTTTCCTGAGAGCAGTTTTCCACTTGTTATGGGTTTGTATAATATTTTTGCCTAGTTTCAAACAGAATATTGTTGCCTGTTTCCTATGTAATGCGACAAGTAAATTCACTTGGGTCTCGGATTTGGCTAAGACGTTTATTGGACAATCTCTTACATTTGCAAGTACAATTATTCAGAACTTCACTATCACAAGTTACTTGCACCGCTGATTTTGGTGAACTGTCCTTTATTGGATGTGAGCTTGCTTCTGTCCTAGTTGGAGCTACACTAAAAACTGACTGGTCTTGCTGAAGCTGGACTTCTATAACGTGCACTTGGACTGAATAGCGAACATCGTGTTCAAGGTTTTGGTTTTATCCGCAAGTAGCATTCGTTTCCGTGGATATCCTTCAGTTTCCTGGGAAACGTTTTTGTTGTTTCGGCGATTCCTATGCAACGATCTGGTGGTATTGCATTTCCACTGAAGTATACATTCTTATCGCAGCTGTTTCCTATTAGTGGATGTGTCTTCTGTCCTTTTTGGCGGCACGCCACAATATGATGCACATATTATGTATGGTCTTGTCATTTTTTATGTGGTTCTACTCAGTCTTCATGGTGAGTACTCTGCTACCAAACTACACTGTCACATTCCAGAAGAGAAACTAAAAGAGCCCTGAAAATGGTTGTTTTCATATAACTTCCTGTTCACTCTCCTAATTTGTCTGGACAGGGCTGTGTTTCCTTTCCTACCACTATCCATTATAATCTGGCCACATCCTCACACCAATCCAGTCCTGAAGCTGGAGGCAGCATGTACCTCTGAAACATTGATTCAGCTACAAAATTACATGGTGTCACAGTCAAGAAGGCCACAATCTAAATGGTAGGCTGTTTGACGTTGCCAGTTTTAAATACCATATTTCCCATTTAGTTGACTTGTACCGCTCGTTCTAGATGAGGATGATTGTTGGCAGTGTCCTACCGGTCTTGTTGGCTAGCAGCCAGGGCTTAAATGTTGCTAATAGGGCAACAGAAATCTATCAGAAGAACATACTGGTTCTTTTCAGGTATTTCAGAGTGTCATTAACATTCCATGACTTTTGCAGGAGGTATTTTAATCGCTGAGGTTTGACACTTGAGCTGCCATCCTGTTGAAACAGTTTGCAAGAAAAAGTACTTGTGATTTATTGGAATAAGTATTAATGTCCATTGGCATAATTGGACATTAAAGAAAAAAGCATTGCAATTTTATTTTACATGAAATGTTCAATAAATAGAAGAATCATAATGTGTAATAAATTGCTTCCATCCATTGGGTCTTTATTTAGTTAAGACACACACACACACACACACACACACACA